GGGGGGGGGGGAGGGGATCAGATGCCCCTGGAGAAGCATGTCGTAGAGGAGAACTTAGGGCGTGAGAAAAACTCATGATATTTGCAAAAGAGGAAAAAAGGCAGTCAGCAGAGGGCCTGTACCACGTGACTTCATTTGCATAGATGTGTGGGCAACATATACTGGGCTGACTTACACTTAAGTACTGACAGCTGCTCTCCTTAGGTGGGCGATTTTTTTCCCCCTTTTGTGGGTGCGTGTTTTCAACTTCCACACACGGGGCGCACATCACTTTTGCCATTGCACAGAGGAGCGACGGTGCAGGGGGCAAGCTTAGTTCAGACCTGCAGACTGTGGGGCTTGACTGCCTGGGTTCAAAGCTCGGTCCTGCTCTGGCCAAGCTCTGTGACCTTGGGCAAGTGATTGAACTTCTCTGGGCCTCAGTCTCCCCGTCTGTGAGCCGGGCGAGTAATACCACCTCCCTCAAAGAGGCACGGAGATGAAAAGAGTTCAGAGGTGCAAGGGGCTTAGACCAATGGCTAGCTCATAGCAAGCTGCGTATAGCATTGATGTTATTCTTGTAAAGAAATTATATAAGAGAAAAACCCAAAGACGCAACAATATTAGCAATCGTTATTTCTGGATGGTGCAGAAGCGAGTGGTTTACTTTTCCTTTGGGACTTCTCTGCATTTCCCTTGAAGCATGCGCTCCTTTCAGAATTGGAAAGAAAATAGTAATTAAAGGGGAAATAAAAGTGAAAGTGTTGGGGAAAACAGGATGAAGTCAGGTTCCACAGGAAAACAGCATGAAGTCTGCATGCTTTTCCGATCAAGGTCACCAGTGGATTCTTGAGCTTGTCCCAGGCCCTTATTCTAGGCCTCCTCATCCGGTTGTGGTCCGAGTTCTCCTTCATAAAGGATCCAACATCTGGTGGACAGATGCCAGTGCTGAATTAGAGGCTCTCGCGATCAAGTAGCTATAGCTAAATCTTTCCAATAGATATATATCCATATACACATAGACTCATACATATATCATTTACTATACTATATCCATCCATCCATCTAGTATATATATAATATGTATATATACAGAGAAGGAATCGTTAACTACAACTATAAAAAAGAATACTCCCACCCACAGCGCCGAAAAAGAACCCTAACAGGAGAATGACCATGATATGGTAATTGCTCACTCACTTGCTTGCCTCCCTGCCTAAAATTCCTGAAAATGTCTTCTATCCCAGGCACGTACCACAGTGCCTGGAGCATTGTAGAAACTCCCGGGGCGCCTGGGTGGCTCAGTCGGTTGGGCATCTGACTTCAGCT